ATCCAAACAGTAGTAAGTTCCAGGCCAGAAAAGTTTATTACAATTTAAACATTTTGGTATTTAATTTTTTTGCTTTCCAATTCATCAGAATCAGAAATGATTCAGGCTCATCAAAATCTGAAATGAAGTTATTTCTGGTTTTTGTTACATTCAATGAGCTGAAAAATCCATTGTCCATCCAGCTGTATTTGCCTGTGGTTTTCTTAATAGATCTCAGCTTACTGCCTCCCCTAACCCATTATCCCTCCGTCCTTATGTGCCTTTTCTGCAGGAATACTGATCAGAAATACCTTCACACTAACCTCCAAATTCCCTAATGTCTATTCATGCACAAGGCATTGCACAACTCCCGACAACACAGTAAACATCTCCCAGCCTACTTCACTGAGATTCCTGCAGTCTTGCTCTTCTCCATTTCATTCCTGGATTCGTGGTGGCAGTCTGTGCCACTTGTTGCAAAATTCAAGATATTTTGGAACACAGGCTTTCAAACGCATGAGACTCTAATTCAGTCATGTTTAGGGGTGGAAGCTGCCCAAGATGTCATGCCATATAAAACTTCTCATCTCTTGTGCTACCAAAGCCTTTGTGGGTAGGAATGTAGGAAGATTGTGTCAAATCATTAATCAGGCTGCAATATATCTTTCCTTTTGTAGTTGATTTGAAATCTAAATGTTTAAAGTTTTGAATTGCTTTTATAATGCTCATAGGAAAATGTGCGTTATATTGGACATCAACACTTTAATCTGGGTCACCTGTGGCTGGAAAAACATGTGTGATATACAACTTTGACATTCAGATTGCCATTGTTATGATTCAGCCTAATGAGGACTAGTTAGATCACACAGTTATTATTTAACTGCACCAATTAAACCATTCTTGGAAGAGTGACAAATTGGGAGGGCTGCAAAATCCATTTAAAAGCTCTTTGGGAAGAAAGCCTGGGTGTAGATTTAAAATATAGAGAATTATAAGTGTTAACCATAAAGTATGTCTACATAGCATAATACTATGCTGTGCAGAGACAAAGGAAAGCAGATGAGATAGTTGAAAGCAGTGCTGTGCATATTTCAGGGAGCCAGTTGAAGGTTCAGGGTGGAAAAAGGCCCTAGAGAGAAGAGAAATAGTGATGATTCAAAAGCTGAGGGCAACTTTTGAATACATTGATATAAGCTTTCAAAAAGTATCAAGCACTACACCTTTAGTTTATATTTGTGCAATGTCTGAATTGCACCAATAAGTAATCAAACAGGCATTGTCTGTCATACACTATTTAGTAGCATGCAAATGGTCGATGCTAGAATTTTCTGAAATTATCAGAAGCTAATCAGCTATGCTTTGGTATGCTGATGTTCATAGTACCTGTTGCTTCACTGTAATGTAGTACAGTCTTGTTAGTGATTACATTATGAATCTGCAGTTATTTCTTCTAGCATAACATGGTCCTTTCAAATGGAACAAAACTTCAGACTGTTTAAAAAAAAAAACAAGTCGAGCTCCTGTTTTGCTATTCCAGACTAAAATACAGAAAAATACTTTCAAAGCAAGTGTGTTTATTAGGCAAGCTTCTGGCAAGAGTGTTTTGTATATGTCTTTGTACTCTTGATTTCATCACCTGGTTTCAGCCCACTTAAAGTAAGGAGTGCCAGAATGGCCTTGGAATGAACTCCTGAATCAGTGAGAGTTTTGTGATGGCAGGAACAGAAACTTCCAAGGAGCTGCTAGCTTTATTACATGGCTCCCTTTTCTCTGAGTCACCTCCTGAATATTTCATCGGAGCCCAGTGTAATCAGACTTTCCAGCTTGGCCAGGACAACCCTAGAATATCCCAGTATCCACAAGACATTTAATTGCTATTTTCCCCAGTCTTTACACGCAGAAAACAGGATATTCCTAATCTCACCTTAAGCTGTGCCTAGTAATGCATTCATTTACAATATGACAGCAGGAGACAAGGGCTCTGGCCTGAAGCTGTGATGAGATACATATGCTTTATTACAAAACAAGATCAACAAAGTATGTTCCCCATTACATTAAATATTGGTGAGTGTGATGAGACCACAACGGATTGGGTAACCTGATACAGGGCCTGCACAGATGACACAATACCTGCTCTGTTTTTGGTATTCTGGTTTCTATGGCTGTATGTATACTAGAAAAATATTTAAAAACTTTTCACTGACAATAATAGCTGTACGAAATGCAGCATAAGCACAGGATAGAAGTTCTTTTCTAGCTTCCTGAAATAGTGCCTGAGTTTTCTAATTGCAGGTATGAACTATTAATCTGCTATTCTCTGGGCTGACAGATGTTAACAGACATGTTCATGACTAAAATTTGATTACACTTTCTGAAAAAACATGCCTACTAACTCTACTAAAAAGATGTCCAATTTCAAGGGTGGCTTAAGTTTTAGTAGGATCACAGCAATCCATCACAAAGACCGAGAAAAAAGATTAACGTTACAACCATTTGACAGAATGAGATATCAGTCATTAGTTAGACTTCTGTGAAATTACTAACCATGTAGTTCTTAAACAAATACTTCCTTGACTTAATATTTCTCAAGGTCTGTTCTGTTACTGAGGTAAGACTGTAAACCCTATGCCCAAACCTGCAGATACTGAAAAAGAAGAGATTGCATGCCATCTTGTGGATATCACAAGAACATCAAAATTCTGAAAAGATTTATTCATTTAAAAAAATAGAAGACAAGAACACAAGTATACACCTCCTTAAATACAAGTCCTAACTAGATGTATAACTCATTATGATCAGGGAGAAACATATTCTGAACAACATAAATGTATCTGCTTCATGTTTTTGTTATTGCTCTTTAGTTGAAATAAACTAAAAATTCCAATGGACACTGGGTCTCATTGTCTACTGTTATGTTCTGTTATTAGTTAGGAAACTAAGTAACAACTTCAGGATTTGAACTTAAGATCCAAGATAATTCTGTTACCAAGTATCACTCACTAGAAAACACTTTTTAAAACATTGCTTTATATATGCTGTCAGACAGCAGAACAGAATGTATAGATCAATAGTGTATTTAGGGATTTTTTTTCCATTTTTCCTTCTTGTATATATACTACCACCATGGTATTTTGTTCAACTGCAGTTACATAAATAATGATTCTGAACTCAGTCAAAGTTATGCAAAATAAAGTAATGAATTAAAGTGATGCTAGCATAAAAAGGATAACTGGGATTAGAGAAAAAAGAAAAAGGAAGAGTAAATTTGGAGAAGAAATCATGCTTTTTAATAATTTTGGCCTTATCCTATAAAATAATTTCTGTCCACAGCTCCCATGAACTGACAGTAGTCAGGGTTTTGTGGTATGACATATCAATCTGTTTCTCAAGACAGCTCCCATAATTAAAATGAGTTGCTTACCAGCAACTTGGATTGCAATTAGATATGAGCACAAGTCATAGGTACTTAGACTGCTTTTCCCTATTAAAAAATTAGCTAATAAAATTAGAAGGTAACTCCTGAAACATGTTTGTAACTAGTTATATCAAACTGGTAAAACTAGCAACTCAACTTGGAAATGCAGTTCGAGGACTTTGGCAGTATGTCAAGATACATGTTTATATATAAATAGCCTTACATACACTATAGTAGTCCTGAATGAGAACCCCAGAACTTATTTGGCATATATACATTAGGCTGTCTGCTATGTACTGAAGACTGAATATGCACATTTATCACACAGTATTGCTATTTTGAATGGCACACATGCAAACTCAATTTATTTGAGCAGGATCAGGCCCATAAAAAAGATTGCTAGTCAGCTGACCATATTAAAGAGATTTAAAAACACTGCTACAACTTGAAAAGCACCTGGAAACAGGAAATGAAAGACAGGAAATGCAGTGCAGCCCTTCATTTTCCTTTAAGTATATATGGAGAATATAGGATCAGCATTTCTGTCTTGATGCATTTTTCCAAAGGAAATCCCTGCATGGTCAGGATCAATTACATAAAAGGAGACTTTGAGTGTGATGACAAACCACAGGGGAGTCAAAGTGACTTTTTTTTAAATAAGTTTTTCTTGCATGGGTGCAGAGTGCAAGATGTAACCCTTAAGGTAAAAAAATTAGGTTAAAAAAAAAGGAAAGCAATGTGTGGCAACTGACACAACTGACACTCAAGTCACCTTGATTAGTTGATGCTGAAGGTTAAGTTTTTGTTGCATGAAACTGCTGGAATGGTCAGAACCTGTCACTCCCTGAGCACAGGGTCTAATGGAGTCTATTATCAGGAATCAAGGATGTCCCTGTAAACTTAACAACTAAAATTTATTCTGTGCACTACTATCTGTATCATTTTGGAAAAATGTGTTGCTTGAGCTCCCAAAACAAATTACCCATTCCATTGCGTAGATCTGAGATACCAGAGTGAGTTTGTATCCATGTAAGCACCCTGTTTTGTGTAGCAAGGCACTCTGGATCCAAGATTAGGCACTTTACCATAGACTAGATCTGCTTCGACTACCACAGACTGGTAGTGCACTGGCAGCCCGTAACGTGTAAGAGTGGAGGGAAAAAAAAACAAACAAAAAACCAGAGTATTTCAAGGAACCCATTTTTCTCTTGGCGCTGAAACCCAGCAGGGGATAGGGGAAACTTCCGCAGCCTTTGCCAGGA